TCATGAGGGGTTTAAGGTGTATGAGCCCCCTTAAATATTTCTTTGAAAGAATCTGTTTAAGTTTATATATGAATAATGTAATATTTCTTTGAAGAATTTATGTGATCTTTACCTATAATGTATTTAACTTTGCCTGTAGAAGTATAAGAATTAATATTGATGTTATTACAATTTTAGAAAAGACCGTAAGATTGTCTTTTGATTTAACGATATTAACTCTCGAATCTCGCAGAAATATAATGATTTGTAAATGACGTAAATTATCTTATCGCTTGTTTAATATTAAGGTTATTATTTTATCGTTTGATGACTGAAAAATATGAAATATTTTTGCTTTCAGCGATATTAATTTCTTCTTTTAACAGAATTAAGGTAGAATATTTCTTTTTACAGAATCAAGAGTAAAAATGTAATATTAAAAATTTGATAAGTTGCAGAAAATGTTATACTGATTTTCTTATACTGTTATTTTTTATTCATTCATGTAAATTTTAAATTTATGAAATAAGATAACAAATTTCCTTGCAAAAAAATTAAATCACATTCTCTTTGGAACTGAGCATTTTCTAGTTATCTTAAATATTGAGGTTAAATGCTGTAGAAATTGGTAAATATTTTAGAGGCGGAAAACTGCTGTGCTTCAGAAATATGATACTTGTGTTACTTAAAAAAATAACGGAAATTTCATTGCTTAATTTCAACTTTAATAGACTTGAGAAAGATTATTCAACACAAAGACTACATATCTGCCAGAAAATGATAATTTATCTTATTATCCGCAGGTGAAGCGATAATTACTTCTTCCTCTTTTTTAATGAGTTGAAGGCCAAAGAGAAAACATCTCTGCGTTCCGGCTCGAGGTCCAATGATTCCAGGAAATTAGTCTTCAACTCATTGAGGCTAGAAACTGAGCAGCTCACCCTCGAAAGTTTCAGTCTTTGAAATATTCCTGTCAAAACATTTCTAGCTTCTTCATTGCATGTCAACTGAAGATCATGGGCTATACATGCGAAGGCGTAAGCCTCCATCCTAAAGAAATGGAAATAAGAGTTTATGTAACATATTTAAATTCTTCCGTTAATTGAGAAACAGCTATTTTACTTCTCATAAATAAATTATTCAAGTATTCAGAATGACTTTTGAAGACTCATTTAATCACTTATTACTTCCTTGTACGAAGTAAAAAGGAAGTATTGTAATCGCGAAGGATTCGGCACATATTAACGAAAATCCATTTTACGCTGTCGAAGCAATTTAACGATGTTTTTTGCGTGATATCAGTACGTAAGGACAGAATAAAATACTCTTTCCTTCAACAAAATTATTACTTCTTGTAGGAAGTATAAAGCCGTATTGTAACGCGAAAGTTTCAGCAGCATTTTAAACGAAAATATCCATTTGACCGCTCGATGCAATTTTCACCATGTTTTTGAGAATCTGTACGCAAGACAAATAAAAATCTTCCTGCAAAAAATTATAATACTGCTTTAAAATAATTCTGAAGAGAATTTTTATGCGTCTGACGATCATAGTACGCGGCGATCTCGCATAACACAAAACGAGTAGCTCAGAGTTTAAAATTGTATAAGGATGTATAATGTAGAGTGCACCTAGTATTTTGGTTGGAATCGGCCGCAACAAACGTATATAAATATATTATATATATATCCTCTGTTACCGGCGCAGTGATCAGATTCTTTGCTCTGATATTTTGAAATTGTACATTTTTGCTTTAAAAATGATTGTATTATGGTTTTTTATTTATGGTTAAGGTTTATGCCTAGTAAATCTGTATGCAGCGAATAGACAATTAAAATTGTATAATTTTTTTTTAATGGGGATTGATGCTTACTGTGAAACAGGACAGGGATGTGTGCCAATTAGAAAAATTAGCTCGCAACAACAAGATAAAGCATTCATTATTATGCCAATTAAATATGATTAATTCTTTCGGAATTTTAGAGGAAAGAAGGTTAGATTTACTTCGTAATTTTAAATAGATATGTTGAGGTTTATGATTTTTGCCTTTTCGCGATGAGAATTAATTTAATGAAATACTCAATTCTGTGAAAAAACTGTTTTTTTTTGTTTTTTTGATAATTTCTTTGATGCATCATTTAGCTTTATTAGTATTGCAAGCACATGTGGCAACGATAGATATTCTATCTTTAAATGATAAAATTTTGATATGTTATATATGAACGAAATATTAAGGTACTTATAAATTATTGGATTAAAACAGTTAATTAGTTTCCGTAATAATATATATAGTAAGTTATATAATTATTAATACGTTAAGTAATAGAGCAGAGTGTCGCTATAGTAAACAAATAATAGAGTGAATTTAAAGAATGCATTTTTCTATTGTGTTAGCGATGTCGGAGAAGTAGATTATTAATCCAATAGTTTAAACGAAATGAGAAAAACGCGTTATTTAATATTCCGTACAAGGAAGTCATTTGGTGTACACATCAGATTTTTTTTTACCAAATGAATGGCCAAGCCAATGATATATTGAAAATTAGAACAGACGATTTAAAATAAATGAATGTCTAAAATATAAAATTGAGTGTCACTTACTTTAATAGTAATTGTAATACAGAGGGTGTTTATAATTTTTTAGAACGGTTTCGGAACCATTTAATGAATGTTTAAAGTGAAGACGTTATGCTTTTAAATGTTCCATCTAATAACCTTTATTCTGTATTATAAGGTTGAATCGTAGTTTATCATAATTTCCATGAGAGAAATGTTTTTCTGAAAATTTCCAAAGGAATTGATTGTCATTATTCTTCCACTAATTTTCAAAGCTCATCAATCTTGGTGGGTTTGAGCTTCAAAGTGGCGTTTTATGTAGTATTGTGTATTCAAAGTGGCATTTTTGTAGTGGCATTTTACGAAGTATGGCTTGTTGCTTTGTCTAGATGAAATCTCACTCTTTGAAAGTCACTGGGATAAAGAAACAGAAACTTTTCTGCAAATATCGGACTCAAATTTTATCTTGACAGTATGTTGAGTTGATTTTAACGTTTTCTTTGTAAGATAATCCTCCAACAGTCATAGAAACCTTATAAAAACTTTCTTTGCACTACCGGGAACCAGGTATTTGCAGTTTTTTTCTCCTCGTTTTCAATAATAAATAAACATCTTTTTTATTGCAGTCATTTAGATGAGCCTATCTTTCATTTAGCGTCACAGTATATTTCCCTTTATCTCCAGCTAAATAGTCTTTATACCGCGATCTACAAATTGTGTTGCGTTGAACCACATACCTCCACAAAAGCTGTTCTTGGTTTTTTTATATAGTTCACTATTTTATTTATACTTACGGATGTATTTTAAGACTTTACTACTGATTTCTGCGTCCGCGCGTTTTCTCTTTTTAAAAATTAAAACGGATATGTACGCTTACAGTGTAGCCATCTTGAGAGCAACTCAACACTCATAAATTTTCAAGAGTCGGACACGGGCGCATTTTCGCTCTAGTGGTAGAGTATTCGACTTGCATTAAACAGACACAGAATCAAATCCCAAGACCATTTCCATCTTCAAGGGCGTGCGAAAGTCGTGCGCTGCAGCACTTTTCACAGGTGTTAATGGATGGCGACACGAGCAAGCAGCAACATATCGGAAGCCACCGAGTTCGCTTGCACCGCGTGATCTTCACGTTGGCGTCCTGGAGACCTACAAACACTTCCATCTACTGAGAATAAATGACAAACTATGCCATACATGTTCCATTCTCCAATTTAATGACGATACGCATGCCAAAAAACGGGGTTTCTCAACACTGCTCAACCAGCCATCAACGGCTCCAACTGAGCATATCCACACACCCCATTTACCTCCGATCAAACGCAACAATCGATCATATTAACGCAATGGTCTCGCAACCAAGCCCACAAACCGGCCTTCTCCTCATATTGCATCAGAAATGCTTGGGAGGGGAGTGTGTAGCGATATCGAGAGCAATTCAACGCTTGCAAATTCGAAAGGTTTCGAATTCTTGGACCTAGCGCACGGGAACTCTTTTCTGCTAGTGGTAGAGAAGTCGACTCACATTAAATAGACCCAGTATCGAATTCCAAGGTCATTACATGGTTTGTACGATTTCAGATTTCCACTCGTACTCGCTCTTCGATATGTACACTAAGAATCCTCCCCTGTTGGGCAAAAATTGGGAGTAGGTTGCACGTCAGTTGAACGTTTCTGGTAAAATATTGCCCTTACTGCCTTTTGCATATCTTTTACAGAATCGCAATGTTTTCTAATAGCATTTCCGTAATAAAATGTCAATTGTTTTATAATATCATCCGTAAGGCAATCTTTTCCACTGAGAGTTTTACCGTAACTAAGTTTCTTTCCCTTCATTTCTTGCTTTCGCATTCGTAATCTAATGCCCATTCTTTTCTGAATTTGTGAAATTAAAGCAATCTACGAATGAACGTTTGCAAGCAGCTGCGCGTACAGATGTAAATAAACGTCAAGTGATGAAGCAAATGCCCGATCTGGCAATATTCAAATCGGAATCGCTTTCTTTATTTCATAATTTTTAAGGTTCTAATTCGAATATCGTAACGTCGTTTCTTTTAACAGACTCAGAAATACCTACAGTTTCTAAAAAGGCAAAAAACCGATTCTTTGAGTGAGTAAAGGTGATGACTCTCATCTATAGTGCTGAGGAAAATGTCGGGTAAGCGGCGAGGAAGATAAGGGTTCCCAATTGGGAGAGCAGCTTCAAGAAATTCGAGACTTTCTTGGCATACTAGACTTTCCTAGAAATTATTTTCTGTGGCACAGTGTTTTTGCAATGACCTTTGTAGGGAAGAGTTTTTTAGGTGGTTTATACTTTATGATCATAATAGCAATTTTTTAAAATGTACTTTAAAATGCACTTTTACTTATACGGACAACAGCACACAGATTCTAAAATCGAAATCATTTATAGTTCTTCTATTATTCATCTATAATTTATTATTTGAATGTTATTTTTATTGCTGAAGCACCTTTAATATTTCTGTCAGTTTCTTTTATAATGAAAACCGCGCCATATCGTAACACAGAACCAGTTTGAGATTCAGTTTTCCATTCCAATGTATTGAATGCTAAACAGATACAGTTTTCTAAGTGCGAAATTTCTTCCTACTGTTAAAATTCATCGATTAATAAAGCAGATTTATGAATGTCATCAATGCCTCTTTTCTTTCTTTTCCAGTTGTTTCAGAAACAAAGCTGAATTTTGGAATACTTGACTACAAGTCGCCTAATTTAACCCCTTACTTATGACGTGGAATTCTGAATAAATTCGATAGATGGCTCTTATGAGATTGGTAAATAACACTTCATTTTTATTAGGAAAAGTGATCTAATCGTATTTGCTATTATTCCATTGAAACCATTTTTAGCTTATTATCAGTGCAATAAGTATATTTTAAAGACATGTGCCTAATTTATTTTCTAATTAAATTATTGTCAAATTTTACTTACAAACACATGGCGTCCTCATCAAGTTCTTCTTCACCTTCCGCTAGCAGAATTTCATTCATATCTCTGTAGGCAGCATACGCAGCTTCTGCTTCCCTTTTACATTGAATTTTCGGGGGTTTGCTGAAATATTCTCTAGTACAGGGTTGAGTCCTGATATAACCTGTATTTTGAGAGAAATTTAAATATGTTAGCGATTTTGAACATGCTCAAGAAAAAACAAAACGCGTGCAAATTATTTCCTTTATATGGAGGTATAAAGTATTAAAAGGATTAAAATACGTAACTATAAAAAGCTTTAATTTAGAATTCAAGTTCCGCCTCAGTTTATTTTAGCTTCTATTCATTTCCGCAAGAAAATCTGCCCATACCTAAAATTTAAATTAGTTGTTTAATAAATTATGCTCAATTTTGTTTACAAATTTATATAAAAAAGTTTATAACTTGATTATTGATATGCTTAACATTTCCGTTGATCTTATTATATATATTCTCGTTATTGCTTTGTCCACCTTAAAAATTAACCTGCTATTATCGTAAATTAAGTCTAAAGTTTCTTAAATAAAGACAAACATTTGCTGTTCTATTCCTTTTTCTTAACTGATTAGTTCTGCAGAACTGTTTATTCATTATATGGTAAAATTGTCTATTGAAATAACTTTATCGTTTCGTAGTAAAATGAAGAAATATGTTCGTCTTACGTGCTGTATCTCCGAATGTTTACTTCTGAAATAATACCTCTCCGAACTTAATAAGGATCCCAACTTATTAATGCCACTTATAATCCATTGAATTAATATTATTCTTCAGTTAGCAGAACAAAAATTAAGTTCACCTTCGTTCATTGGTTCACCTTCGTAGATGGAAGCCTTCTCAGTGGCTCAGTCAGTCATTAGTTCAGTCTAACAGAAAATTAATTCATTTTTATTAAATGGGTTTGTTTCACCCATATAGCAGACATTTAAGTGTGATAATGCCAGTGTTTAGTCAGACTTAATAATTACTGCTCTTATCTCAGCTTATCTAAGTCCATGTCCGAGAAATAATATCTGCGAATTAAAGGAAGAAAGTCTGTGAAACTACTGTGGAAAATTATTTTGTTCATCTATTTGCCATCAATACATATCTATGAAAACAATTATGCTGCTGGAGATACAAAATGCTATGCTGAGCACTAAATAGAAGAGGTTCTTAAGCTTGCAGTGAACACACACTGTTACTGAATTCCTTCTGGTGCAACCCCGTTTAATGTATGCCTGGTCACCAGATTGTCAGTTATCGACCACAGTACAAACGTAGAAATTTTATGAAATGATTGCGGAGGTATAATGGACGACGATTGAGGTACATTAGAGATTCCCACACAAAAGTACAGTGAAAAAATATAAAATTTCTGTACTTTAAACAACCTAATACTGCTTTTTAAAGAACTTCTTTATGATGTTAATGGAGTCGATGACTTGCACATGTGCTGCATTTGTGATCATTTGCATGTCGTTTCGAGATACAATCATGGAGCACATTTCAAACCAAAAGGCAGTGTGCTTCATGGATAGTTCATATTTTGGATTACCACCAATGTAGAAAGTTTATCAAGGAATAAACGCTGTTCTTACTTTTATGCCATTTTTGATTGGTTTGCTCAGTTTGTGTTACAGTTTCCATCTGAAAGTGCATTCGTTTTACAGTTGAGTCTATCAGCTACAATATTTGTTCGAAGGAGGATGCATGGAAAATTAATTTAACTATCCCAGTAACTTCTAAAGGACTCTTTAAAAGAAATTATTTCCTGGTGTATTTTGTAGTTAAGTGAACTTTTAGTTAAGAAAAAAATGTGAAAATTTAGGGTTTCTCTTAGTTTGAATAACCAGTTATTTTAATTTTGGTATTTCTTCTAAACTTCTTTTTCCCCTTGTATTTCCTTGCCAGGACGCAAATTAAGCGAAGAGCGTATTTAAGCACACAAAACTAGAAGATTAGACAGAGCGAGATTCCGTAGTGTAGCGCACTTTTGCTTATTTTGCCCTCCAGCTTAATCTTAGTTGTAGCTACGCACTATGGCCGTTTACAAAGCCTATCGCCGGTGTAGGTTGCTGAGTCAGTCTGCTAGCTTTAAGTAAATTACATATCTAGCACTACTATTTACCTTCTAGAATTTATTGTTAAATTTTGTTAAGTGTTATTGCGAGCGTAAAGTATGTGCCTTTTTGTTAAAGAACTTTAGAATAAACTGGCTATTTGCACCGTATCTTTTGTGCTATTGTTCTTAACACCTGTGCGAGAAGTTGCAAGGCTTACTATTAAGATCGAGTCACTTGCATGCTAGTAACACGAATAAGATCTTATAACTTATCCGAATTTTTAATTAGTAACAGGATTTTCCCAGTATGCGAAGTAAGACAGTTTCAGCAACGGCATACAACTACTTCAATTTACTGATTGTAGTTTATATAACTATGATTTTGGGAATATACTATATTTATTTATGAAACAATATGTGCAAAATAATTGTTTTGTACGTCATCAAATTCAACAGATTTATGTGAAGTAAAAGTATTTTTTAAATAAGTACGTTTAGATTTACAAAGTTGCAAAGCAATTTGATGTCATCTGGATTTAAAATGAAATGTGCAGAGACGCAAATTTATAACGATATATATTTTTCATTGCTCTGCTATTCCTTATTTCATGCTGTGCTTTATATTAATAAAGCAGAGCGATATTCTTTAAGATAGAAAATTTATTTTTCTCATTGCTGTTTCTTTAGAATTATCATAATATTTTATAATATTCCCGCATTTGTAATAAGAAATTTTAAAATTACCTTCTCGAACGCTATTCATATAAAAATTACTCTGCATATTCCATATGCGGAAGCAAATTTATTTCCTCAAATAAATTAAATTGAAAATGAAATATTTTAAAACTTTATTCTTTATCAGAACCCAATTCAAATATAAATTTCTAAAATATAGATTCATTTTTCAAATTAAAAAAGACGAAACATGATGAAGCAGTTCTTAATTCTTTTCGCTCGTTTTTTTTTAATTATTGATAACAATGGTTTCAAATAAATAGTAGATATAATAGGATAAACTCATAAAGTTTAATCTCTCTTTTGCGCAAATGACTTCTAAAATTAAAAATTTTCAATATGAGTAATTATTCAAGTAGTACTTCTCTAAAACTCTGAAACAATGAAGCTATTGCTGAATCACAACTATTAAAGAAACACCAAAATTTCATGATTTAAAAAATTGCGTTTTAGTCATAACACTTATACCGTTAATTTTATTTATATAGAACGACGCTTAACTACAAGTATGAAATATTTCTAACAGCTGTAACGGCCAATTTGGTTTCAATCATTTCTGCTTTGCACCACGAGGTTTCATATTTATAAAGTATATCTTTATTTTAATGGAAGATATATTTAACATCTGTTTGTTGCTATTTATGGATTGTTTACAAAAGGCAGTTGAGCTATTATAGAGAACTAAGTATTACTTTCGTGTCTCTTAATGAGAATAGAATTACTGTCTTTGATTCCATAAAATTAAATTAGATGGCAGATCGTTTTGACTGTTTTGTTTTTCGGAGAGGGGTGCACGCAAAGCACACGTTGAGTGACTGCTATTTAGTCTAATTAACGCGAGTACTATGTATGTGTGTGTGTGTGTGTGTATTTAATTATGGCAAAGCACACTAGGGCTATCTGCCTAAGGGGAGGGATGCCTTCGTGGAGGACTTTCTAAGGGAAACTTGCTCGTATACACGTTACACATGGGGAAAACCACGAAAACACCCATGCAGCCAGCCCGTTCGCGGGATTCGAACCTCGGACGGAACTACCAGTGTTCAGCGACTTTACCGAGTACTATGTATCAGAAGATTGTTAATTTAGTTTATTTGATATATTAACCTTGAATATTTTCTCAGTAGTATCTTTAGAACAGAAGAGCTGTGATTAAAAGTGAATAAAATCTTAAGCTACTTCGATCTTCTATTAATTATATTTGTTACGATTTTATCCTCTAAACTTTATAATTAAAGAAACCTTTTGTACTTCGGTAGGAAAAACTATAATGATGTCAAAGTCGAACGAAACGGCTCAGTTTGATATTTGTCACAGGTTATGTCAAAATTGTGATTGTTTTGAAAGGTTAAACATTTATTCATTGTTATAGTCGAAGTCAAACGTAGTAATCTCATGAGACACATACATGCATTAAAGTAAACAAGGTTAGTAAAAAAATATATTAAATCTTTTCCGCACCTTCAGTTATTCTGCTAACCCTTAGCAGAATACGGATTAGACTGAGTTTGAATAGCATACGGCTTTTTGAGACAGTGGTTTAACAACCAGCTGCTAGAGCTGTTGAGCTTGAGATGCTTACATAATCAATCTGCGAACATGATGCGTGAATGTTTGTATGCATTAGAGCGTAAGACCAGGATTTTTAGTCAGCCTTCCATTCGGGATTTTTAGCCAGAAAATTCTTCAGAGAGAGTGACGATTATTATTAGAAACTTGAATATTTAAAAACACTAAAAATCTTAAGACTCAATAACACGCTGAATAAATACTAATTCAGAAGTCAAACAACAAAAATCAGCATTATATTTTCCAAATTTTCGCAGGAATAGTTTCGATGGCTTTTCGCAGGAATAGTTTCGATGGTTTTACCGAACCACCATCCTCAGCTGCAAAACCGCAAATTATTTTCTATCTTGTTCCGTTGCTGTTTTGCAGCTGAGGATGGTGGTTCGGTAAAACCATCGAAACTAGTCCTGCGAAAAGTTTGAAAATATAACGCTGATTTTTGTTGTTTGACTTCTGAACTAAAAATCTTATCAACTAATAGCGTGAAAATCAAAGCATGGAAAATCTCATTTAAATCATGGTAATTCTTCTGCCAAGTTTGCAACTTACACAATAATAGTTTTTCCCTACCAAACTAGAGAATTAATTTCAAATCAAATTGAATGTAACATAAATTTTTTGACATTTATTTTGATGTTGTATGTTATATTCTTACTTTTGCGCAAGTCACTTTCTTCATTACATATTTCTTTGGCAAGTGCTTCCATATTTATGAAAAGTTGAGCCGCTATCGCGTCTCCAGGGTCATCTGACGATACAACTGCCTGTTCCGCCGTTTTTCCTTCACACTTCAAGGACTTTTCTCGTACACAGTCAAAAACATCCAAGAATACTCTTTAAAAACAAGAATAAATTTTCACAGGAAAGCAAATATTTTATATAATTTATAACCCTTGCCGGTACTTTTCCGTTTTGCCGACGCAGGCGATAAAGTCGCCAATAATGGTACAACTGATATCAAACGGATATCTCGTGGTAACCTTTTAGCATCATTTCAAACAAATCGCAGCATTTCTTATCAGATTGGATTGTTCTTTCAATACTAGCATACAATATATAGAATTTTATCAGGTAGTTCAATTTTATGGCCTAGGCCATGCGTAATTAAATCAATTAGGATGCAATCACACCAACTCATCCGATGGCGAATATAGAAAAGGCAAAGTCAAGTTTTAAATTATCAGTTCTAATGAAGCACTAGCGAAGTAAAGCATTACGGTTACATAATTTTGACTAAGCTATCGTACGAATTGAAATAATTCGAGTGGATTAGTGCAACCAATTGCGTGTACCTGCATTCCAAATTAGATAATTTGAATTATTATAGATAATACTAAGAGAATTATTTTTGTAGATAGTTTACGCGTGATGAGATCATTGGTGTCACGTGATTGAACGGCGAATCAGATGTTGACCATAAAAGCAGTAAATTCTTTAAATTAATGCTTTTACAAATTTATTTCTTTATTTATTGGCTTTTTACAAAATTTTAAACGATATTAAAATGTTTCTGCCTTCAAAATAAAAAATTCTTAGAACTAACATTTTTTATGTGCATACTTTATGTTGTCGCCAATAAAGTCTGTTTGGCGAGATTTGAGGCAGCGAAAGGGAAAAGTACCAGTTTGCCATATAACGTTAACTTATTAATTTCTAAGATAAATTAATGTCCTTACTTTAAACTTCAATTGAAACTCGTTCTAACAACTGTTTGCGTTCTTAAGATAAATGATGTTAGAGTAAAGTGTCACATTAAGTGGATTGAATTTACACTCAACACCAGAGACTGTCTAAAATAAATTTTCCCTATTACGATCATTGACAGTTTTTCTTAAATAAAAGTTTTAGAATTAAGTATGATTTGTTTCTCATCGCATACGAAATTAACTTCGAAGGTATACGAGATAAAAGTATGTCACAGTAAAATAAGTATTTTTAAATGGATGCTTTGCAAGCATTCTACATTGCCCTAAAAAAAAGGCTTTCTCTTAGTGAGTATAAAAAACAGTTTAGCAATCTTTCTGCTGCAGAAGGACGGTCCATATCTAGCAAAACTGTTTCGCGTCGGCTGCATGAAAGTGCGCTGTACACCAAAAGACCTGTGATTTGTGTTCCTTTGTCTCTATCGCCTGTCTGAGCGCAGTTGACTTCGGCCCGTAAACATCACAGTTGGACACCAGAGCCGTTGGGCCACGAACTCTTTACGGATGAGTCTTCATTTAACATATAGGATTATTCCCGAAGGCCGTTGATATGGCGAGAGCTAGAGACACACTGTCCTTCGCCAACATTGTAAAAAAAGACCATTTTAGAGGAGGAGGCTTAATTATATGGGCTGGGAAACCAAAGAATGCCCACACATGATTTATGGTGGTTCAGTGGCAGCAGTCTAATATCGCGATGAAATTCTACACCGTCTTATTCGTCCTTTTATAGCTGTAATGGGTGTCGACGCGATATTTATGGGCGATAACGCAACCTGCATGGAGCTTGAGTGGTGCGGATTTATCTGGAGAGTGAAACCATTCCTTATCTACCGTGGCCTACTAAGTCACCATACTGGAATCCCATACAGCATGATAGGACATGTTTGTACAACGGTGAGATTCCGCATGCATTGCTACAGAAATAGGCACTATTGCTACGACAAGCGATCAGCTATACTATTGCCAGTTTGCCTTGCCGTTGTTCAGCATGCATTTCATCTAAAGAGCATGCATTTCATCTAAAGGGCATGCACTTCATCTCGATCATATTCGTTATTAGAGTGATGTTTCCATGGCATATGTTTTTGACCCATTTGGTATTTGGCAATGTGATGGTCGTTATGTCTTTGCTTAATTGTTTGCTATGTGGTGTAGTAATGTCACACCAAACTCTTGGATCACTTTCATGCATACCCATTCAACAGTTTTTGTTTTATTCCGTGTTTTGATTTCGTTGCTTATTTTTTAGAAGAAGTGTATATAATGAGTTTTAAAAAACGAAAATAAGAAAGAAAGTACTAAACTAAAAAGGAAAAAAAAAGAAAAGGGAAAAAAATGCAAGTCTAGACACGTAATTTAAAAAACTCAAAACATTAAAATATGTTTTACAAGACTTAAAAGGCCTTTTAAAGATTACTTTGTATTGTAAGGATTACGTTAATTTTATTAACAGTTAAATTTTGTGTTAAATTTCCTTTCCTGTCGATTCTTAACTTACTACTTCCGGCCAGAACGTAGTTTTAGAATCACGTGTTAATACATAATGAGGAAGAGCTGTATTTAAAAGCGAAGTTCTTTTGTCTTAGAGAGAGAGAGATACCAGGTATTCTATCTGCACGCGGCCGCCTTTTTAGGGCTACTCTCTCGTAAACTATTCTTACGCTCGGACGTACTTTAGGCCCTTGATAGCTTCGTAGACTATTAATGTTAAGTGGCCAACTCGGTTAGAATCTTGATAGCTTCGATTATATCTCTTTAGTTTAGATTAGTTTAGTATTATTCTTAGTTTTTTAAGTTCAACGCCCAAGTGTCGGCTTTACTGTACACACCAAGACGGAGTTTGTTAAACTTTAGTTGGAATAATAAAGGGCTAGTTTACACTTCTATCTTGTTGTTTCCTGTCACATGAACTCAAGCGATTATTCACTTATCAGTTCTTAGGATTCTTCACGTTCAACAGTAACTTAACATTCACAAAGTAAGGAACTCTATTAAAATTTCACGATTCTAATATATCTGTTTGCCCATCGAATGACAATGTTAAAGAATGAGAATGTTAAATCTTTATAGCTTCAGTAGCCAATTATTAGGAATAATTATTATGGAAATGAATGTAATTATTATGAAGGGAAGAAATTTATTTAATAGCTGGTATATTCCAATTCCGAAATACATAACTTACATGTTAAATTTAACTTAAGCATACTCTTTCCCTAATTAATTAAAAAATTTCACTAATTATTATTTACACTGCACATTCATAATTCTAATCCATGTAATGCTGTTAAATAATAATAATGTAATTATTCTGAATTTTCCTTTATTTATATCATCTTTCTAATGTCTCCGTAAAATTATAATGCATATTGTGCACAGCATTATGGGTAATAAATCATCACTTTTTTAGTTTGGTTTTTTGGGGCCAATATAAAGATAATGTACAATTAAAATGCATATTTTAAGAATAATTTTTTAATTAAAAAGCGTAACTGGCAAACATTGCATATTCATATAAGGATTATACAGTTGCAGAAAATTTCTTGAAATTCTGTCTAACGGTTTCAGAGAAATTATGCGCACTAGAAAGAAAATTAGTTTTAAAAACTCATAACTTCAAAATTTAGGTAATTTCAAATCCTGTATATGCATATTATTTTCTTAATCATAATAGATAATTATAATATTCTAAATACACATAATTACATATTTAAAGTGTTTTTCATACCTAATTACTATAATTTTAATTGAAACAATAAAACCAAATCGTCAACATTTCAGTATGATTTCAAATTAAATTATGCTTCTTAATATTATTGTATCAGAAGCGCAATAATTAGTACCTTATACAGACAGAATGTTATTTTACACAATTCATAATTTTTATAAATTTAATTTGTCAGTTTAGAGAATTTGTGCACGGTACTACTCATATGTAATAAATCGCATATTCTGAGCTGAAAACGAAATTTTCTTAGAATTTGTGAGCGTATTACTTTTTTTAATTAATAAATAATTAGGTATGAATGCTAATAATTAGAATTTTCTCTCATGTGCAGTTATGCATTTGTATAAAATTTTTTACAGAAGCATTTGATATATAGTGCAGGAAATTTAATGTCATAAAGTTTAGTGAAATACAGATATCAATAAAATATCTGTCCAGTTAAATGGCAGAAATTAAAAACTATTTTTACCAAAACGTTCGTTCTAAATCGAAATTTTGTAGAGCGAAATGTTTTTAAAATGCTAGTAAAAATCAAATTTTAATACAAAGCTAGAAGGAAATTTTCATTTTTTGTATTCTGTAAATCTAACTTTTTCCTTAAACGTCTCTGCATAATTAAATATTACATATTTCCTAGAAGACTTAAAGAATGCTAATTGCTGCATTACTATAAATGTATCACAATCATTGTTTCAATGCAAAGACACTTGCTCATAACTCAACGAAATTTCTATTTGATTCTGATTTAAATAATTGCATTTTTCATGAATTATTTCCGTTGATTTTAAGCATATGTTGCAAAAACTTATTCCTTAGCAGTCGTATAAAAGATATCTATTTCTCAGATCTGTTTTGAATGAAACATTTTGCATATTATATTCCTCAAACATAATCATTGAATGCAAATTTAATCGAATAATAAGGAATTTTTTATTAAAATAAGAAAGAGAGAATACATACGGACAGATCCGTCGTAACTCTTGTTCATTTGGTAGGCCGGTAAGCAATTCTACTTCTGACTCTAACGCTTCAGAACATTCGCTCAGTATGTCATCACAAGCTGTGCTAATTTGGAAGATCCCTAAAAGTGGAGTGAAATTCAATTAAAACACTATATATTGTATCATAAATTAGTAAATAAAAATTTTTTCATTAATCTTAAATTAATCATAAAACAGTTGAATTTTTTAAATAAAAATAAAAATAAAATTTATTGAATAAATGCATTTTTAATAAAGATAGTGATATGTCGTGTTGTAAGGATCTTAAGTTTTACTAACGTTTATTTTATTTTAAATCTTTACTATCACTTCTTATTTTCTACTTCCGGCCAGAATTATAAGCGTTAAGGTTTTTATGCAAAGTTGTCTGGCGAACGCCAAGTATTTAAGTTGTGGCTTTTTGCCAAGCGAGAGAGAGGAAGCAGTGAGTTCGAAGCAGGCCGCTTACCTTAGAAGTTACGCAGTTGCTTGTTGCCTTCCAGGCCAGAGGTTTTAATCCTCTTGATAAATTTAAACGTATTGTAGTGTTCTCAGTTATCTGTACTACATACGCCTTCCTGTTAATATAAGGCCAATCTTCCACGTTTATTATTCTAAAGTTAAATTAGAGTTTAGTTTTATTTTTATACTTTTACGTTAGACCCCAAGTAGCGGGTCAGTGTATTCCGAAGTACGGAAGTCATTGTATATAGAGAAAAATAAAGGGTTTTGTATACCCTTCGTCTGTATCCTGTCTACTTACCACAATTAGTGAACATAGCTTTAGTAAGCTCTCTGTTCCGAGTCAGGTCCTTGTATGTTCCCGAAGAAGGTAAGAAGAAACATTGACCCTGATAGTGGCGCCCAACGAAGAAGAATAACCATGGCCGAGTTTCAAGAAGAACCTGTGCTGCCTGCAGAAAACGGCTCAGAATCCAGAAATGCCAGCTGCCGCCCTGGAAGGATTTGGTTACATCGTCCAGACCATGCGCGCTTCGATGAAACCAGAAGCAACATTTAATGGAAACTCACCGGTAACCAGTTTTTTGGAAAAATTGGATGACCACTTCATGCTCTACCCCGTGCACGAGTTTCAAAAAGTTACCTTAGCTACCAGCGCTTTGAGGGGCCAAGCGCTTAACTGGTTCAAATGTATAGGCAGAAGTCTCTTGGGTCAAGCAGGAAGTCCCACCTATACTTACGAAAATTTCAAGACCGCCCTACTAAGTAAAGCCTTCCCTGTTGTAAGGGATCGTGCGAAATTAGAAACGGAACTTTTCAGTATATATCAACAAAGAATCGAAAACCTCTCGAGCTTTATTTTAAGAAAAATTCACGTTTTCAAACTCTTGTATGGAAACCGTCCGGATCCTGAAATAATTCAAGTGATTTTGCCGAGGTTACTGCCCCAAGTGCAAGACTTTCATTGAATTAAGAAATCCGAACTACACTGGAAAAGTTATTTGAGCTAGCAATCCAGTTTGAAAGTAGAAGAACGGCGGACGTCGAAAGAAGACGCCAATATCAACAGCGAAACCAATTTGGTACGCCAAGACTACAGCAAACTCAAGCACACGGCTACGGAGGCAAAGCGAATCAGTGGGCAAGGAAACCCGAGCATTCAAAAACAGCCGGCGAACGTCGACAGTTCAATAGCAACCAGGAAAAAAAAGTCTCAAGGCCAGGGGAACCAAAGAAGGAAAGGAAAGCACGGAAAAAAAATAATTTAAACTAAAACGGATTTCTGCTGACGAGAGGGTGCGGAAATCCGAAGGCCACGAAAACCCCTCTTCCTACAAGTTAAATACAGTAATGGTGAAAAATTTGACTCTTCCGAAGATTGAAGTCTTGGTGAATAATATCCCAGCCACCGCACTCCTGGATACCGGCGCGCAGTGTTCCTGTGTGGCAGAAGATTTTTTTAGGAAGTATTTTCGCAAATACCGCATATATAATGCGGATAATACGACAGTGTTAGCGGCGCAAGGAGAAAAATGTAAGTGCGTAGGTAAAGTACCTTGTATATCCGTATCAAGGACGAACAAGTAAAGGTGATGTTTTTTTATAGTAAAGAATCTGCAAGCACATTTAATTTAGGAATAGATTTTCTTTCAGACGCACAAGCTACGCTGGATTTTAATGAAGCGTCCCTTAAGCTGACAATGAAACCAGTTCGTACAGAAAACGCTGAACCGCCGAATGTTAAAACTTGACCACCTGCCTAATGACGAGCAAGGAAGAATCCGACAAGTGGTAAGTGAATTTGCTTCGTTATTTAGTGATATTCCAGGATTTACTCAGGTTACTAACCATAGTATTGACACCGGAGATGCAATGCCAGTTCGTCAAAAACCATACCGGTATGATAAGAATAAGGAAAAAAATTATAGAATGGCATATTACCGATATGCTACGTAAAAAGATCATAACGCCCATCTCAAGTAGTTATGCTAGCCCGGTGGTTTTATGTAAGAAAAATAATGACTATCCTTTGGAGCATCCAAAAAGGTGGAGATTCGCTATTGATTACCGTAAATTAAACTCCATAACTAAATATCCGGTATATCCGTTACCGATCATAGAAGAAATGAAGAAATTCTAAGGAACATAAAATCAACCAAATTTATGACGACTTTAGACTTAACGACTGGTTATTTTCAAATAGGGGTTAGGCCTGAGGACGTGCCTAAGACTGCTTTTATAACCAAGTCTGGCACTTATGCATTTTTGCGTATGCCGTTTGGCCTTTCAGGGGCCCCGGCAACATTTCAGCGATGCATGGACATTGTGTTAAGACCTGTTCTTGGAAGTCCCAGTCCACATTTATCTATTTAGACGATATCATTACTAGTGATAATCTCGACCAACATGTACAGGATTTAAGACAGGTGTTTTCTTTATTAAATGAGGCCGGTCTAAAAGTTAATGTCGAAAAGTGCAAATTTGCAGCCCCTGAATTAAAATATTTAGGTTACAAAATATCTCAAAAAGGGATCGAGACAGATGAATCAAAAATAATCGCTGGTACAAAAGTATCCGACTCCAAACACGGCAAAGAAGCTCTCTTCTTTCTAGGACTTTGTTCATATTATAGGTCCTTTATAAAAGATTTTGCGGCTATCGCTGAGCCATTGTTAAAATTAAAAAGGAAAAAGGCAAGATTCTCGTGGACGGCCGAAGCCAATAGTGCTTTCGAAAAATTAAAAACAAGCATTAACGCAAGCCCCTGTGTTGAAATTTCCTGAAAAGGATGAGAATTTAGAAATTTCAGCGGATGCTTCGGATTATGCGGTAGGAGCGGTACTTTCGCAAAATCAGCAGCCCGTGGCATTTTTTAGCCGAACTTTAAATCAAACACAAAGAAACTATTCCGCGACCGAGAGAGAGGCACTTGCAGTTCTGTTAGCAGTGCAAAAGTTCCGAGTCTATTTTGGAAAGGCGCCGATAACAGTATATCTGATCATGCGGCGGTAACTAGATTGTACTCAGGGAAAAATTTATCCCCAAGGTTAATAAGATGGGCACTCAAGCTGCAAGAATATAATCTGGTATCAAGCATACCCCTGGAAAGGAAAATATCGTAGCAGATGCCCTATCAAGAATTAAAATAGACGAACAAGGGTAATACCGTAAAGGTGGCAATGCTTACAGCATGTACAATAAATTCCCGAGAAACTGTAATAACCGAACTGGGTAAGGATCCTGAGTTTGGAAGTATTTATGAGTATTGAAGGATCCTGAAAATTTTAGCCACCAAGATATTGTGGCGATAAGAAATAGGGCGGCCCATTACGAACTAATAGATGGTCTATTATTCTATACAAAAACTACGAATTCCAACAACGAATTTCGACCTGTTATCCCCAGCTAGTCTTAGATTAAATATCCTGCAGGAGCTCCATGACAGCCCTTTAGCTTCTCATGCTGGTATTCGAAAAACTATCCAACGCGTACGCGAGGCAGTCTACTTTCCTGAACTGCAAAAGTTAACAAGGGCGTATGTCCAGTCCTGCCCAACATGTCAAGCAGTTAATTATATTAATTTCCGCCCGGCCGGGTTTCTAAATAGTATTAAATCCGAATTTCCAAATGAAATAATTGGCATCGATTTATTGGGCCCTTTCCCAAAAAGTCAGTTAAATAAAAGTCGCTATCTCCTTGTTATGGTTGATCATTTTAGTAATGGACCGAAATTGTTCCCTTTAAAACGAGCCTCCGCGAAATTAGTTACTGATTCTATTTTAAATAAATATATTTTAAAATACGGGGCGCCCCTAAAAGTTATATCGGATAATGGTCCTCAATTTGTAAGTAATATATTTGAAGACATGTGCCAAAAACTGGGCATACGTCATTTAAAAATGGTCCCGTATCGGCCGCAATCAAATATAGCGGAACGGGTCAATAGAAATATAGTGAAAATTATCCGTAGTTATGTTAAAAATTTTCATAAAAGCTGGGATAAACTATGTCAATGAATTTGCTTTCGCCCTTAGGACCGCAAAAACATGATACAACGGGCAAAACTCCTGCTGAGTTATTTCTAGGCAGAAAGATTATAACACCGTTAGATAAATTATTTTATGGTGCAACAAAGAGCCCCAGAATTTAAAATGGGTGATATAGAAAAAACTAATTAAAGAAGCAAAAAAGAATACGGAAGTAGCACAAAGAAAACAGAAGCTCTATTATGATTTGAAACGACGGGGAGTAACTTATAAAGTAGGGGATGAAGTTTTAAAAATTAAGCATTCACTTTCTTCAGCACCAGAAGATAAAACTGCCAAATTTTTCCACGATTTGAAGGACCATATGTTATAGAAAAAATAACTCACGCTGTAGTAGTGTTAAAAGCCAGAAATGGTGAAACCTGTTCCGCAAACATTGATCAAATCAAGCCCTACTTCGATCGTAATAAAATGCAAATATTTTCAGATCTTTTGCAGGATCCGGCACGGCAGACACCGCAGGCACAAGTTCCAGAGGTGGAAAACGACAAGTACAAGGGCAAGCCATGAGAGGCAGGAAGCAAGTGAAAAGAAAATTGCCCCGCGGAAAAATTGAAGGTAAGCAAGAAAAAGAAGCGTTCCACCGTCCAGAAAAGGAGAGTTCACGAACACCCCCAGAATGAAGAAGGGAGAAGGACGACGTATGTGAAGAGAACCAGGAGAAATGACGGCAACTATAACCCGGCTTAAAACGGAAGATCGACTCATCCGACAGGAACTCTCCGCAGCAAAGTCGCCGAACTGCGGAAGGGCCATCAGCGGCGGAGGAAAAAGACAAGAAAATTTGAACGGCCAACAACGAGGTCCAAGCAGGATCACGACAGAAGTTTCCCGGTTCCGCCAAGACCAGCTGCCATTCAAACGGCCAAGACCACAAGCAGAGGAAAAAAGAAGGTATTCAAGGGTGACCGTACTGGTGAAAAAAGGAAGCTTCCGAGGAAGGCACTGAAGGCGAGCCGTACAAGAAGGAGGATAAATCACACAACTATCTGCAATACCTTTAAGACTGGGCCCAGAAAAGGATGTCCGAATATTACAAAGATAAGTAAAATTTTATGTTACTTTGCAAACTTAAGTTAATCTTTCATTCTTACTGCAAGTGGCAGATTTCAAGAAGTTTACCTCATGCGAGGTCTACCTTTATCGCCAAAAGGGCGAGAAATGAGTTGTTACCGATTTTTTATTATGTTTTTAAATTACTCGCGCGTAAAACTAAGTTGATGTATAATAGCGTTGTGTAAAGACTTAAATATTGTAAAAAGTTTATTGTATAAATTTTATTTAAAACATTCTAGCAAGAAAGAAGTTTTAGTCTGAAAGACTTTTGAAATGTAGTATTTCAATGTAGAAAGAAATTGGCACTTGCTTTGAAAAGAATGAAGTTAACAATGTACTACTAATGTATGTTTTCAAATGTGTAAAATTAACGGCATGTTGATATGTTCTTATATACATGTGAACTGTTATTTTAAATGTTAAGAAATACCGTGATATGGTAAAAGTGAATGTTAAAATTTTTTTATTCGTGTGACTGTAAAAAGACTAAAGCATGGCGAATATGTGTTAAAGGTTGAATGATGTAGTTAGGCTCTCTGACGCTACACTTTAGAGTTAGCCACTTTTAGAATAGTACCTCAGGGTTTAGAGTTGAAATTAGGGTGTGTTAAGAGGTCTTGTTATGTTGAATTTTAACACGTTAGTGTTTTGATTGTAGGAGGAAGTGTGGACACGTAGACAGAAACACATTCGTGTTTGGTGTTCTTTTACAACACATGTCAGAGAGCACGGGGAGAGATAATTAAAATAGTCATGAATGAAATAAGAATGTTAAGAGAAGTATAATTCTATATGTTACTTGCCATTTCATTGTGTAACATTTCATTAAACTAGTTTTCCTTCCAGATCTCTGGAAGGAACCAGAATTGAATAAAGCTCCTGTTTAGATGCAGTACAGATGAAAAAAAAATTGTTGTATTCCTGGGAGCTGCTATTGTATAAAAACAAAGTTCTTTCTTTTAAATTTCTAGTTTCTAGCGAAGTATGTTTTGTAAAAGGTTGGCCTCGCGTTAGATTCTAGAGCTAAAAGTTTTCAACAAGGTCGTTTTAGACCTCAGTTTCAAACTAATTAACTCTGGCGGAAGTATGTAAGGATCTTAAGTTTTACTAACGTTTATTTTATTTTAAATCTTTACTATCACTTCTTATTTTCTACTTCCGGCCAGAATTATAAGCGTTAAGGTTTTTATGCAAAGTTGTCTGGCGAACGCCAAGTATTTAAGTTGTGGCTTTTTGCCAAGCGAGAGAGAGGAAGCAGTGAGTCGAAGCAGGCCGCTTACCTTAGAAGTTACGCAGTTGCTAGTTTGCCTTCCAGGCCAGAGGTTTTTAATCCTCTTGATAAATTTAAACGTATTGTAGTGTTCACAGTCTCTGTACTACATACGCTTCCTGTTAATATAAGGCCAATCTTCCACGTTATTATTCTAAAGTTAAATTAGAGTTTAGTTTTATTTTATACTTTTACGTTAGACCCCGAGTAGCGGGTCAGTTGTATTCCGAAGTACGGAAGTCATTGTATATAGAGAAAAATAAGGGTTTTGTATACCCTTCGTCTGTATCCTGTCTACTTACCACAATTAGTGAACATAGCTTTAGTAAGCTCTCTGTTCCGAGTCAGGTCCTTGTATGTTCCCGAAGAAGGTAAGAAGGAACATTGACCCTGATAGTGTATTTAACACAGTTAAGGCGTTTACGTACACTATCCTCTATTTAGAACAGTTTTATTAAAGAATCATGAGTTAGAATAACTAGGAAATCTTTATTTTTAACAAGTTAGAGAGTTTGCTTATCTTAGATAGAACTGAAATATCATGCAAATCAAAGTTAATTATCTCTACACACATTAAGATCGAGGATTGAATAGAACTTACAATCGTTTCCTTTAAAAGTTTTAAATAGCATTATTCTTACCTGTTTGGCAGTATTATCACAAGCGTATTCCATAAAAGAAGGTAACATGCTGAAAAAAATGAAGCACAAATACAATGTTATAACAAAATCTTTTTAAGACTTCTTTTGCTTCTGAACATAAGTAGAATCCTCTCTTGCCAATATATATCGTTTGGCGCTCGTTTTTTGCCCAAAGGGCGTTAACCCAGAAGGGCTGTTAATTTGGTTTTGGCATTTTTCATTGTTTCACTGTAAATGGCGAATCACTTTTTAAATTGTTGCCACTAAATATTGCCCTGCATTATACTTAAAAAATTGAATAATGAAGAATCTGAATAAATTTATATATATGTTTCTTACATTGTGATAAACCTAGAGTATCAAATTTTGTATAACGTACTTGTCTACCCAAATGTGGGCATCTGAAAGCTCGAATTTGTAATTTGTTTTATTATCCGTTTCATATTTTACAAAACACTTACGACTTTTTGATTAAAAAGCTCAACGATTTCAAAGCGAGTAATGGCAAGACTGTACGAAAAAAAAAACATTTTAATCTCTATCGCGCGAGACTGTGTATCGGAAATTTTAAAGATATGCTCTTTTAAATATCTGCCGTTGAATTGAATTTTATGGTTTAATTGCGAAGAAGATGATATTTAATAAATACAGGTAACACACAAAACATTAAAAAAAAACGCCCCGTTGGGTGTAATATAAAATCTGGAAGCTTTCAGTTTTATATTTTATGCCCATTAGAAAATCTATGGTTAGAGTCCGGTGAAGGCATGGTTGATTTTTCATGTTTTCACGTTTCGAAAGCTCTATTCTGTCTGCAGTGAGTTCGAAATAAAAATAAAATTAATGACAATTTGTCATCTGCTGGAATTTGGTCGACTGCTGTCTAACGCCTCTTTCCAGTCACCCTTTAAATGGGCACGAAAATAAAGAATTATCTAATCCCCCTGCGTGGTCTTGTGGTGTAAGGGGTAAGCCTTTCCAGCTCGTTAACTGGATAATCAGATTTTCCAAACCCAGTGACGGCATATTTTATTTTGATTTGCTTGTTCCTAAAATTCTTAATATCTGTACAAATCGTAAGAAAAAAGAAGTAAAATCTCAAAGCTTTCACATTTTATATTACGCCTAAACGGGCATTTTTATTTCATTTACACACACGTACACGTTTCGAAAGCATTTTGGCTAACACCACTTTGGGCTAAACTTATTTAAAAGCAGCATAGCTTTAGAATTTCCGATAGACAGTCTAGCACGCTAGAGATTAAAATGTTTAATATCCTAGTGTTGCCACTGCTCGTTCGAAATTGTTAAGCTCTTTAATCAAACATTCGTTAAAGTTTTAAAAGATATGAAATAGATAATAAAACAAATGTGAAATTCAAGTTTCGGGTTTCGATGTGTTCATATTGGAGTGGAGGACTACTATTCAAAATATGATGGCTCTTAGGACCATTGCTTTTTCACAGTGTGAAAAACTTACATACGTTCATACAGACTCGTCATTACTTAATTTCCCTAAATATAATACAGAGCGATAATATTTAGTGGCAACAATTTGAAACGTGATACAGTCGTTTATAGTGATTCAACGCAAAATGCCATTTCAAGACTTAAGCCTTTCTGGGCTAACATCGCTTTCGGTTATACAGAAGCAAAATTTTTATATTTAAGCTTCTTGATTATTCTATGATTCAAAAGTGCTCAGATCTAATTTATCAGGTTTCATGACTATTGAAACATGATTCGAAGTGAAAATTTAATTTCTAAACTCTAAATATTTTGAGAAATTGCAGCACAGTCACTTGCGATTGGAATATCATGTTTTCACAGCGTAATCAGAGAATAATCGAAAAGGGAAAATTTCTAAATCCTCTACAATATGACTCAAATATATAAAATTTACAGCTGCATTATCTAACATTTAAAATATACTTAAAATACTTTCAAAATGTAAGAACTTCTTCCTCAGTGAACTCTGAACGATGCTTTATTATTGTGCGATACGTTTTAAATCCATAATTTTTAAACAAGATAATTAAACGTTAAAGAGCCATAATTTCTCAGAAGTCTTAGAAATCTCATACTAATAATTTTTTGCAGCATTTAATTATGAAAATTTTTATGTTAAATCACTGAATATTACTTCTTTAGAAACTCACCCAAAATCAGCAGCAATGTCAACCGTAGTTTCTGCATATTTAATATTGGAGCAATTACTTTGTGCAAAAATCTTAGATAGTCTTTCGACTAGGAATTCTCCTCCGATATCGGACGTTCGGTTATAAGTTGCAATTAGAGGTTTGCCTAAATTATTCTATCTTTTTATACAAAGTCGCTTACAATTGTTCCTTTTAATAACAGGAAATAAAACCTTAGGCAGGAAGGAAATCCTCAAGTGATATTCGATTTTAATAAGCAAATTATGGACGGAAATTATCATGATACCAGATGGAAGTTTCCTACAGAACCAAGGTTCATTTCATGATAAACGCAAATCTTTTTCATTACTGCATTATTTCCCTTTCCTCTTTGACCTTAAAATGCAAGTGAAAATTAATTAGTGAATATTTCGCTTTGAATTCATCATCCTGCAAATACCAACTCATAGACAATAGAGCATCAAATATTAATTAGAACAGAATATCTGCCTATGTTATTCCATAAATATCATACTCAGGATATAGTTACGCTTTCACAACAGTAGGATTTAACAGGCAGCTGCGATAAATTAAATAAAAATTAACTTTAAAACAATTAATCGGACAATACATTTATTACTTACGAACAGCTATGCGGTCAGCCTTCGTTTGGCTTTCATATGTACCGGAAAATGCCTGAAGGGAGCACCAAATATTAAATTTTAAAAACTGCACAGAATTTTACTCTCGCAGAACAACACTATCAAAAAACAACAAACAAACAAACAAACAAACAAAAATCATAAATTTCAATAAAAATGTATTAGATATAAGAAAAATTAGAATGAAAAAAGCAATATCTCTTAATACAAATATTAAATATCCTAATAAATAAATTAACCAATTTACCGTTGCCTTCTCAGAAGCAACGCCCAATATCCACGAGAAACATTAAATTTAAAAATTGCACAGAATTATCGCCCTCATTTTTTCGAGTGACAACAGTGCTGATATGAGCTACAATGGCTGCGTGCCAATGTTGCTGATATAATGAAAGAAAATCATCTATTTGATGCAATTTTATTTAATGTTAACGCCTAAAAAAACGCCCGAAGAGGTGTTTTTTTAACGTTTTGTGTGTTACCTTTATTCATTAAATATCATGTTCCAAAAAATTCAGTTCAATAGCAATGTTGCAAAATAATTTTTAAATGAGCATATCTTTAGAAGTTTCGATACACAGTTCCGCGCGCTGAAGATAAAAAGGTTTTTTTCCCCATAGAGTGTTGCTATTGCTCGCTTTTAAATCGTTGAGTTTTTTACTCAAAAAATCGTTAAAGTTTTACAAAATATAAAATCGATCATGAAACAAATTCCAGATTTTAAATTTGGTCCTCCACATGCCCATACTCGTAGGAGGATTATGTCATTCAAAATTCGATGGCTCTAAGTACCGTTGGTTTATCACAATGCAGAAATAGACATACATTTATGCAGTTTTCATTTTTATTCTTCAAATATAATGCAGGTTTCTAACATTTGGTGGCAACAGTTTGAAAAGTGAAACGGACATTTATAGTGATTCAAAGCAAAATCGCAAAACAAAAACAATAGTCTTTCAGGGACAAAACATACATACGTTAATACAGACTCGTCATTACTTAATTTCGTTAAATATAATACAGCGTGATAATATTTAGTGGCAACAGTTTGAAAAGTGATACAGCCATTTATAGTTATTCGACGACTAATAAAAAAAGAAGTAAAACTAATAAACTTTGGACTAATAAAACAAATCTCATTCGAATTTTATAAATATCGCTTCGAGGTAGACTGGCTCTTGTCTAGATGCACCTAGGTACCAAATTTCGTAGCCCTGGGTCTTTTAGATTACGCGCAACACGAACGAAAGACACACATACAGACAGACTCTTCCTTTTATACATATGTAAACTCCTGCTAAATGATTGATAAAATAAAACGTGAAGTATTTTTACAAACTAAGAGATGATAAATTTTAGTTTTAGAGTGAGGTTTCTAAACGACAGGACAGTTTTGTAATCTATGAGATAATACTATAAGGCATTAGCTTTGGTTTAGTTGATTATAGCAAAGCACATTGCTTAAGGGAAAAATAGCCTTCACGGAGAACTTTCTGAAGGAAACTGGCTCGTTTACACGTTACACATGCGAATATCCTCGAAATTGCATATGCAGTTAGCCTGTTTGCCTAGAATCGAACCCAGATCGAAATTACTAGTGTTGAGGGATTTTACCTTTCGACCGCTCGTGGGATGCTATGAAGCATTAAATGTAAAACCAAATACGAACTCGTAACACGTAAAAAACTTAATGAAAAAACACTGCTATAGGAACTTCATGCTATTCAAGAATTAAAAAAAACTGAGATTTTATGAAAAATTTCGAAATTGTTTATCATTCTAAAATTTGTTTTTGAAGTTTATAAGAAAAAAAAAAAAAAAAAAAAAAAAAAAAAAAAAAAAAAAAAAAAAAAAAAAAAAAAAAAAAAAAAAAAAAAATAGCTGCTCTTTTTTTTTTTTTTTTATTTGTAAACTTTTGCATATATACAGAACTCTTAACTTGAATCACAAATCTATAAGTGTTTAATAAAGTACAGGCCGTCCAGACAGGTTTAAAAATTTAGCTAAAGATATTAGTAAATCTGGTTGTCGTACTGAAAGGTCACAGTTCGCTTCCCGGAGAAGACAGGCATATAATATGTCCTTTCCTTCAATAGGAAGCAACGATGGCCCACTTAGGAGCCTCCATAACATAGTGACCACGGCAGCGGCCTTAGTAGTGGCGAACGCCTATGAAATGAACGCCTACTGAAATAAAATAATAAAAAGAATAGAAACCTTATTTTAGATTTAAATTTGATACATTTATAGGTATTGCTTTTCGTAATAAGAGCAACCTTCTGCGAAGTTATATACATATGTAATTACCTCTTGGTATATCATATGAGGTAGACTGACTCACTTTTCTGAAGTGAAACTTCTATAAGCAAGAGCAACCCAGTTTAAGAGCCTAATGAAATCTATCATTGTTCTAAGAAGGAAAAGTAGGAACTACACTTTAGTGGAAGCTACATAGGAAAGTTCGGATTTCCCAATAATTTTTATTTATTCTAATAAACTACCATCTTGAAATGAAACTTCTGCACTGAAAGTACATGTCAGTGTAAAACAGAGTTACTTAAACCGTGGATCGCGGAACCTGCAACAGGAGGTCGCAAAAAGTATTACCAGTTTCGATATTTCTTTAACTTATTATGTTATAATAATTTTACATTTACCAAATATTTTAACAAAATGTATCTGAAAATAGATAAAGATAAGACAATACAGACAAAGAAAAAACGAAAATGCTTCGACGCATTCTTTTTGTAATATAAACGTTCATTTTCCTTGCTTTGCACGTGACGCTGTCATTTCGTCTATTACTTAATTTAAATTTTTGCATTGTTCTGTGTCTTAAAATTAGAAATTAAAGTTAATGACCTAAAACTGCAATAGTATATTACAGTGCAAGTGAAAAAATTGGCAGTTTCACTCATGCATGTTTCGGATTTGTGAAATACATACGGGCCATATTCTCATGAAATCTAATACATAAAATTTCAAAAGAACTTATGATTACTAAGCTAAATCCGCATAAAAATGTTAAACAAAGTATAGAATTAACACCGCCAAAATTCGCTGAACTATAATAATGCGAAAATATTAGAATACGTTTCAGCAAAATTTTGAGTAAAAATGATAAGATTTTAAATACCTAGAGTCTTACAAGACCTATGTCCTTCTCTAGTTTTTATAAATGGAATATAAAGCTACAGTGTAAATCCACAAACTAAATTCCTTTTATAGAATTATGAAAAAGAAATTTTAAAGATGATAAAATAATTAAAGTCATGTCAGTCTAAAATATATATATATAGCATAATACCTTATTGCGTGAATCTTTATATTGAATTTTAAATCTCAGTCCTTCACGAGCATTTTAACATTACTATCCATCTACAACAATATTGCAACGTATTTCAAATACACTGGTGAAATAAATTAAGAGATATTGCATATTTTATCGAATTGCATAAAAAAACTGAACTGAAGGGAAAACCACTGCTTCTAGATAAAAATGCAAATTTTGTACGACAAATACGTAAGCGTGCACGTGTGTATAAGCGGAGCCAGCAGAAAAACAGGCTTTACAGCGCATGGAGGGTAAGACGAATTGCGTTCGCTATCACACCTCGGCGAATTTCTTGGTGTTATATTACAGCAATCGGTTAAATTCACATAGGAACAGTAAAAATGAGTAACCATCAACGGTTAGATGATGGAATGAGGTGCCGAATTGTGGAGAGGCTAGAAGCAGGCTGATCGCAAGTCCAGATATGCAGAGAGTTTAATGTATCTCCCAGCGTCGTGTGTAACCTATGGAAACAGTTCCAGGATACTGGATCCATCGAGAGAAAGGATACTGGATCCAAGGTCGTCCGAGAACCACGACGGCCAAAGAAGATTGTTATTTGTCCATTTTAGTGAGTGTAACAGAGGGACTACAGCTTCTCAGCTCTCTCGCAACCTGTATGCAACCACAGGAACCCGTGTAACAAGGGTGACTGTTTCCAACAGACTGAATAAGAGAGTGTTGTTTGCCAGAAGACCGGCTGTTTGCGTCCCGCTCACGTCTTCGGACAAGAGAGTCCGATTAGCATGGTGCCGGCAGCATAGTGATTGGAGTACGGAGCAATGGGCGAGCGTTCTGTACACCGAAGTGACTAGATTTAGCCTAAACACCGATTCTCGCTGTACTTTCATATGGAGAGAGCCAGGTACCCGCTACCTACCGTCCAATGTCCGCTAAATCAAATTATGGCGTAGCGGTGTAATGGTTGGGCAGGCATCATGTTGGATGGCCACACACCTCTCCACGTCTTTGACAGAGTCTCTGTGACTGGTTTGAGGTGTAGGGATGAGGTCTTGGAGCACTATGTTCGCCTTTTCCGGGGTGCAGTGGGCCCCGAGTTCATCTTACAGGCATAAGTGAGGCCACATAGAGCTCTTCTGGTCGACGAATTTCTCGAGAGCGAGGATATTCGCCGAATGGATTGGCCAGCCAGGCCTCCAGACCTCAACCCTATGCAACATGTCTGGGACGCTCTGAGGAGGAGAACTGCAACTGGCATCCCCTCCCAGAACCATCCAGGAACTTAAAACAGCGTTGATGAATGAGTTGATGAACAGCGGAAAAACTGCCTTATTTCCAGTAAGACATCACGCTGCGAGGCCTGTTGGTGTAAGAGGGCATATACTCTATAACCTTTCTTTTGTTCTCGCAACCGCTGTTTCAGACTTTCAGACTCGCATGGTTTACACACGAAACATGTGTCTATAAAGTGTTGAATGTTTATTTTGTTTGTATTGTATCAACTTATGTTCACAACAAATTTTATTAAAATCTGTCCAGTAGTTCTGAAGATTGTATATCAAATATGAAAATTCTCTTAATTTATTTCACCACTGTACATGTAGCAGTTCAGTGGGGTAAGGTTTTATAGAAGAAAATAATGTAGTAAAAAATAACACTACACAAATTAAGCGAACACTCTTGTGGTGATTTTGTTGTCTTAAACAATCAATTTTGAAAGTGAAAATTTGTTTTTAGAACGTAAAAAAATATCGGCGTTGAACATGATCTGTCTAAGGCGAGCCCTAACTATTAAGAATTATTTAATAACTACAGATTATACAATAATAATCAATAAAATACATATAATATATTACAGTGATATATATATATAATACATACACAAAATAAGCTTTGAAAACTTATCACGTTCCATAGTAATTTATCTTTTATCTCACTTACTTTGAATTACCGCTATATCTTATTGTATTTATCTGTGTGTTATGCTGTATCTCACGCTAGTTTAGTGCTGTTTACAGTAACGTATGGTTTGTCAATATAAAAATAGCTTAATTTATATGTCTATAAATAAGCGTTATAAAAATATCTAGCTGAGTGAGTATTTGAGGTACTTGAAGTACAGTGAGGTACTTGAGTGAGTACGTGAAGTCTAAGTAGTTAAGTCCGAGTTTTGAATCCCAAGAACGGGCTGTCTCTTTGGGCATTCTTTTTCAGTTTTCCCATGTGTAACATGTTTACGCGCCAGTTTCCTTTATAAAGTCTTCCATGAAGGCATCCCTTCCCTTAGGCAAATAACCTCGAGGCTTTGCCGTAATCTCCTAAAGCCACATAAATAAACCAAATATTAGGTGTTTTCATTAGACTTGTCAATCTGACTATGTGCTTACACGTTATTTGTGTTCATGAAGAGAAGACATGGACGTGGAAATACATGTAACAGAAAGAAACACGTAACCGATACAAAAATTATGCTACAGTATATCTTATACGTTTGGATTAAGAATACACATTTGTGTTTATTTACGATACTTTAGTGATAATTATTAAACAAGGGAGTCTTCCATGCCGCATGGAAATTGTAGATTTACAAACATCCATGCCTTCTCCGGGATTCGAACCCGGGCCCTTCGACATGCCAGTCAGCGACCACTATACCGTTGGGCGGCGTGTTTTTGCATAGGCTTCTTTTTTTATGCAAATTTCATTTTACTTTCATTGAAGTATACAATTATTTAATATCGTTTCTTATATTTTCTACTTTAAAAATATCTTATAAACGTCTGTTTATTTACTACGATTCAGTGCGGATGAGACAAGACGGTCTTAACTCTACTGTCCCGTAGAAATGTACTGGTTTGTAGATAATGTAAATTATTATCTTATCGCTTGTATGATATTAAGGTTATCACTTTATTGCTTAATGACAAAAAGAAAAGTAATTGCTTTCATTATTATTTATTTCTTCCTTTTAACAGAATCAAGGATAAAAATTTTATTATAAAAAACTTGATAAATTGCAGCATCTGTTTAACTAAAATTTTTTGTTCATCCATACAAAACATTTGTGAAAATAAATTTATAAAATAAGATAATACATTTTATTGCAGAAAAATAAAATGACGCTCTTTTCAGAACTGATGACTTTTTTAAGAATGCTATGATTCAAAAATACGATACTTGCGTTACTAAGAAAAAATTAGCAGAATTTTCTTTGTTTAGTTCAAACTTTAATTGGCTTTAGAAAGATTATTTGACACCAGGAATACATATCTGTCAACTTATTATCCGCAGGTGAAGCAATAACTACTTCCTCCTCTTCCTTAACACGTTAAAAGCCAAAGAGAAAACATCTTTGCGTTCCGGCTCCATGTCCAAAGATTTCAGGAAATGAGTTTTTAACTCATCGACGCTAGAAACTGAGCAGATGACCTTCAGAGGATTCAGTCTTTGAAATATTCCTGTAAAAACATTTCGAGCTTCTTCGTTGCATTTCATCTGAAGATCATGGGCTATACAAGCGAAAGCGTAAGCCTCCGTCCTAAGAAAGGAGAAAGAAGATTTACATGTAACACATTTGAAAATTCTTCAGTTATTTGAGAAATAGCAATTCTACTTTTCATAAGTAAATGATGCAAATATCCAGAATGTTTTTCAAGACAATTTTAAACATTTATTTTTTACCAAACAATGACAAAGCCAATGCTATATTGAAAAATTAGAACAGAAGGTTTTAAATAAATCAATGACTAAAATATGAAATTTCGTGTCACTTAATTTAATTAATAACAATGTGGTAACTGTAATACAGAGGCTGTTTATTACATTTTAGAACGCATTCGGAGCTATTTAATTAATGTTTAAAGTGCGAAGAGTATGATTTTGAATGTTCCAATCTAATAGCCTTTATTCTGTACTAGCGGCTACGCGACAAGCCTTCGTCTGTTTTTTAAATGTACCGTAAAAATTCCTAAAGGGAACACCAAACGTTAAATTTAAAAACTGCGCAGAATTTTACTCTGCAGAACAAATTTATTGAAGAAAAAATCCACAAATTAAAAAAAAAAAAATTGTATCACATATTAAAAAAAATTACAATGAAATATGCAATATCCCTTAATGCAAATATTCATTATCCTAATAAATAAATTAAGCAACATCCCGTTGCAAAATCTTAAGAAATCAAATGGTATAAAGGAAGTTAAGAACTTTGTTGAATAAAAAGAAATCTTGCAAAACTGTTCATATAATTAAAATTATGTATAATTAAAGCATAATATAAAAAATAACAATGAAATAAGCAATAAATCTCATGTTTTCAAAAGAAACAGTCAGCAGTCCAGTATCCAAAGCAATGAATGAAAAACTGTTGCCAAAACCAGATTTCTGAAAGAATGAAATTATCATCAGAAAGCAATAACCAATCAAAATTATACTTTGAAGATGACATACTTCAAAATATGCAAACTCCTTTGCCATTAGCTTTTAAATAGAGAGTGAGAGAAAGAAAGAAAAAAGGAAATTCTTTCTGTTGTCCCTCGCGAGATACATGCGCGTCAGAATAAGAAGATTGCGATATGAGTGTCGTGTGTCCAAAATTCAAAAGAAAAAAAGCAGCATTTTATCTCATATTTTCAACAGTCAGCAGCCCAGTATACAAAGTATTGAATGAAAAACTGCTGCCAAAACCATATTTCTAAAAGAATGAAACTATTCAAAATGATGCGATAAAATCGAAAAGATAAAATAAAAAGAATCTGATTAGAATTATGAAAAATCGCTTCACAGTGCTTTAGCTCTTGTCTAAATGCACCTCTATACCATATATGTATACTAAAACGCAGTGTAAGCAAGACACTGTAAGCGATCAATTTCTGAAGGAAAACATGATACAACACTCTTTTGCAAAAAAATCGAAGCACCAAGAAGGACTTTTGCGATCGTGACGAAATTTGGTACGTAAACACATCTTGATCGAACATGCAACTGATCAAAGTTTCAAGGCAAATAAACGGGAATTGCGATCATAGCGCACATTTCTATTGCGCAATTCTCTAAGTATAAAACCACTAACAGAGGCAGAAAATTGATGTTTTTTTTTTTTTTTTTTTTTTTTTTTTTTTTTTTTTTTTTTTGGTTGCTGCTATTGTAATTCCGTAAAGAAGCATTTAAAAGAACAGTACACCTTTAAAATGATCAAAAAATCGATTTTTTGAATTTCATTGTATTTGTATTGTTCATTTTGTTCTGAATAAATTGATACCATACTTTTACATCTCCGATAATTATTTGTCGAGTTATAAAGGAAAATATGAACCTCACTTCATGGTTTTATTTAAATGCCCTGAGTCAGCCGCCATGACAGTCTGAAGAAACGTTTAACGCTCAGTACATAAACTATATTGAGGATGGCGATACTATAACATTTCTTGAACTTAAAAACAGCAATTTTTGTGGGCCTGATATTGAATTAAATAAAGTAGAATGTGTAGGTCATGTACAAAAAAGAATGGGAAGTACTCGTAGATCACGAGAACTGAAGCACTCTATGAGAGGAAACAAGCTGGAGGATGGTAAATCATTGGGTGGAAAAGGGCGTTTCACCGATAAATTTATTGATCAAGTAACTATGTATTATGGACAAGCTATACGAAATAACAAAGACTGCGTTATGGATATGCAGAAAGCTATCTGCACGATTTATTACAATAAGCGTTCAACTGATGATGAACCACTCCATGACTTTTGCCCACAAGGAAGTGTGTCTTGATGCAAGTACCAAAACGCCAAAGCAACTAGAAAATTGAAAGATTTTTAAACATCAAAATGTAATGGCAGCCCCAGTAATGGACAGCGTAAAGAAAATTTTAAAGACAAATGCTTCAGAACTGAATTTGTCTATCCACAAAATCAGACATTTACGTAAACTTCACAATTAAACAACAGGAAGGTGTTGTATACGAAAGTGGAAAATTTTGAATAAAATTGTTTATATATGAAAATTTTTATAGAATATATATAAATTTTATGTCACATAAAATGTTACCTTATTTGAAATGCTTGTCACAAGCATTATGTGGAGGTAAGTTTTGCAGTATGGTAAATAATATTAATTACTTCTATTACTATTGTAATGATGAGTATCATATATCTTAAGATTACGTTTAATAATTTTTGCTGTTTGGTTGTGTATTTTTTGCCATTTCATTTACACCTGCATAAATATTAAAATATACTATTTTAAGTGTTAAGTTATGATGCCAAAAGTGATTGTATTGCTATATGATTGAAATTTATGTTCCAAAAGTAAGAATTAACTTTAAATAGCTTTTTCTCAAAAGCTGTTTTTCAGACTTGCGCGCAGGATATCTATGAAACCGCTTATAGATACAGCAGATTATTACTGATCAATTTCTTTGAAATTACAGCACAAATAAATATCAAGACAGTAATTAAAATAGACTCTAATTATAAATATACGTTAAATAAAAAAAAGTTTCAGTAAAATTGTACGTAAAAAATTAACAAAATTTTTTTAAAAAAAAATTAAAACTTAATTTTGTATTTAAAAGTTGAACTAATTAAAACATTTTACTTCACATGAATAATTAGATCAATAGCTTTAATTTGGCGTTAATTATCTGCAGATTATGTAGAATTTATGCAAGTTAACCTGCGCTCAAGGAAGCAGTGTATTTCAAGACTTCAATTGTTGGAGTCTTAGGAAAATATTTTTTTAATTATTAAATTTTATTTCAAATCCACTAGATATTTTTTTCTAGGCGTAACGATGTCTCATCTAATAGCCCTGAAAAAATTATGAAACTAGGCACAACAATTAGTTTTTTAAAAATTGTGTCGTATATGCTAAATATTTCGTATTTTCTCTCCGTTAAAGGTGTACTGTCCCCCTAAAAATGCCATTACGACGATATCGAAGACCTTACAAAAAACTAAATGACTTCGAACGTGTTCGCATTTAAGGTTGCGTGAAGCTGGGTGGTCATACGAGCAATAGGCCGCCATCTGCAGCGTACAGACACTGCTGTGCAAAGACGTTGGCAGCAATGGTTGCTACAAGGAAATTGCCGATAAAATGAAGGCTCTGGAAAACCAAGGAGCACAAATGCGAGACAAGATAGAATGATTGTTCGCCAGGTCCAAACCGCCCCAAAGGTATCATTGTCGACTATTCAATACACTACAGCTACGTGTATACCTACCGTTGTGCCGTCCGCTATCTCACAGCGCTTGTCTGAGGCGGAGTTACGGTTACAGAGGCCTTTAAGACACACAGTTTGCCCCTTTGACCCCACAGTATTGGCGGAGTCCGTCTGGAGTGGTGTCGCAGCCCATCATCATGGCTGCCGTCAGACTGGCATCGTATAGTGTTCAGCGAAAAATCCTGCTTCACTCTTGAAGCAGATGACCACCATATTCGTGCCTGGAAAGAACGTCCAGTGGTCCTGATCATGACGAAATTTGGTATGCAAAAACAGCCATCCTGGACGACATTCTATGATCACTGGATCTGTATACAACTTGAGCGAACAATATTGACTCAAAAGAACTGGTATGGACAGCCATCACAATTTATCGGAGAAGCCATTCTGTGGTCCCAGTGGAGGGCGGGTGGGTCCATTAAACTTTACTGGAAGGGGACAAGGCTTCAAGGAGCTTTAGACCAATCGCAGTACAGACGAGTGACGAAATTTATAGCGCGCGCTGGCTGAAGTTCTAAGAATATTCTCTCCATTATTTCACAACTCACACGCTGCATTTGTAGTTCGAAAAAAAAAATTGCACAAAAAGTATTATGATCAACACGCAGTAGAATATGCTCTGTGTTATGTGAAAAAAACTCGTTTTTAAGGGAAAGTTAACGAGGAATTTAGAGGTAAGAAATAAAGAGTGATATGGGATACCATGAAAGCAATGAAAGATAAGAGTAATGAATTAAGCTTACTCAAATCCTTTGAATAAACAATTTTAATTATTTAAATTTATATATGATTAATTTGCATTACAATCTAATAGCAAACTAAGTTTTTTTTTTTTTTTCCCATGTTTATATTAAAACTGTTTCCCGCATTTATTTTACAGTTACTATTCGAAAAATATTTCTTACTAAGAAATAATATTTCTTCTTAATTTCTTCTTTTTTCTTTTCTATGAAAATTATTTCTTTCAGGAAAAGAAATAAAATTCATTCGCTATTACAGTATGGCCGATTGCTGCTGCATTAAGCTATCACACACGCATCAAAATGTTTTATTTAAGTAATTTATTGTATAATTAACATTATAACTTAAAAAATAAGAAAATTTTTTTCAATATAAAATATATAACCAAAATTATACTAATCTCTCCTGTATATGTGATTAATTGTTTTGCAATTTTTGTCACACAGTTACTAAGACTTTTTTAATATTACATTGTTTATTTTAATTTGTAATAAGAATTCAGTTAATTTCTTTTTCAAAAGATTTTGTTCTGTGAAGTTAAAAGATGTAATATTTCAAAGAAACAATAAAAATAATC